GCCACTTCAAATGAACAACTCAGCAAAGAAGAGCGGAGAATAATCTGCCAGCATCCAGTCAGATCTAAGTGTGTTAACCTGTGTGGATTATTTATGCTGTGAAATCCTTCAGCCTTGGAAAAAGAAAGTACAGGATGCTGACATCACGCCCTGATAAGTAGGGAAATATCACTGCTGTAAATGCAGTCCATTTACAATTCAAGGATTTGACTACAGATTCAGTGCTCGCTGTATTGTTCACCATGATTTCCTTCTTACAGCTCGTGCTATGTTGTGCTAAGTATCACTCCAAACCTGTCAGTGTGGCACAAAGGCACGGCTCACTCCTCGCCAGTATGTAAATGCTATGTATGTCTTGGTGCTTCCTTGTGTTATTGAGGGTTTGTAATAACTTACCAGCCCAGTTTAGCCCACAAACATAAGAGCAGACTGCTGTGACGATGCTGGAACAGTGGCTACGTCTCTGATGGCCTCAGTAGCCCTGTGTGCTTACTCGGCGTTAAGCTTATGGATGTGTCAACAAGTTGTTCTTTGTCCTCCAGCTAATGAGTCCCAAGTTAAACCCCAGCAGTCTGTTTTAGCTGTTCCATTTGTCTGTTTGCAGATGTGGCTGGAAGAAGACGTTGAGCTGTATGATTTTGCAAAAGTTCGACCGCTCATTAAAAAGAAGCAAGTCAAGGTACAGTTTCTGTTTGAGGGGAGGCGTGGCTTTCACTAACTTTACTAATCTGTGTAGCTGTCAGCAGGAAGCTGTACTCTAACGGCGCAGTAACTGTGCTCTGCAGTAACGGCGCAGTAACTGTACTCTGCAGTAACGGCGCAGTAACTGTACTCTGCAGTAACTGGCGCAGTAACTGTACTCTGCAGTACTGTACTCTGCAGTAACTGTACTCTGCAGTAACTGTGCTCTGCAGTAACTGTGCTCTGCAGTAACTGTGCTCTGCAGTAACTGTACTCTGCAGTAACTGTGCTCTGCAGTAACTGTGCTCTGCAGTAACTGTGCTCTGCAGTAACTGTGCTCTGCAGTAACTGTGCTCTGCAGTAACTGTGCTCTGCAGTAACTGTGCTCTGCAGTAACTGTGCTCTGCAGTAACTGTGCTCTGCAGTAACTGTGCTCTGCAGTAACTGTGCTCTGCAGTTACTGTGCTCTGCAGTAACTGTGCTCTGCAGTAACTGTGCTCTGCAGTAACTGTGCTCTGCAGTTACTGTGCTCTGCAGTAACTGCGCTCTGCAGTAACTGCGCTCTGCAGTAACTGCGCTCTGCAGTAATGCAGTCTACATGAATTTTTAGCTGCAACATTTTTGATGCATAGTTAAACAGACTGGTGGAAACTGTTACAGACGTATTGCACATGCTTCCTTTTGACTATGTGATGGGAGGAGCCACAGTGAAAATGTAATGGTTCTGATTGGTTGCTTTGTGTCTCCACAGATACCAGCTGGTCTGGCCGGATACAAGCCTGAGGTGTTCAGCAAGTTCCTGGCACTGTACCTGCATGGAGCTGTGTAGGACTGCGACCTCATACATCTGTTGTGTGTTTGTGTGTGTCTGTGAAGTCTGTGTGTGTCTGGGATCTAAATCAGCATCTTCTCAAAACTCCTGATTTTCTTTCAGTCAGTAACAGCGTCCGGATGTTTCATGGAGCTGCACCCACACTTCACCTACATCTTTATGATAACTTCTGAATAAAGGCTGCTTTTCTCAACACTTTGTTTATTCTTTCTTTCTCATTATCAAGCTGTTCATATGTAAATTCCAAGCTAAGGCTACGTCCTGAAGCATGTCGGTACCAACACGTTTCGTTGGGTTGCTGTTCTATGTTAAACGTGTGGACATACTTTTCCTTCCACATCGAAAAGCAAATGAGTGGTTTTCCTGTTCAGTGACTGTTTATGCTCATGTTAGGACATGGCCTCTGGCCGAGGGCGTTCTGAACACTTGGAGAACAACCACAAATGACACGTTTGGTGGGTTTACAGGATTATCTTCTGTAGTTGAACATACCATTTTATCAAGGTAAATCACACCAGGCTCAGGCTGAAGAAGTCAGTCTTCCACATCCTAAACAGAACAAATACATCCTGAATGAAGCTCACAAGCAATGGGAGTTTAGCAGTCTGAGGAAACTCACAGCACACAGTGGAGCTAAGAAAAAACAGTGGGTAATTCAGTGGATTTATCACGGCACGTTGCTTTCAGATATCTGAAGATCATGTTAAAATTGTCGTTCTGACAAAATGCTAAAGACACAAACGCTCATAGAAGTCACAACAGTATTAAAAGTGGCAGCGCTGACCTGAAATCTACAGCAAGGATTGTGATTTTACTTACTTTAAAATCTTGCTTCTCACATACAAGTGTCCATAAATCTGCTCCTTCCTGTTTGTGTGACCTGCTTCATAACACCAAACAGTGCACTGTTTCCTGCTCTCTCCTATCGTGTCCCCTTTGTCTTACTTCTCTCGATCACCTTTTCTGTCCCTTTGAAGAAGTGAGGCTCCATAAATGCTAAAGAGGTAAGTATTGTTCCTCAGTTGCAGTGAATAGATAGAAAATAAACTGTAAACAGAAGAAAGGAGAGAAATAACAATTTAACATAAACCAGACACACTCCAGGGCCTCCTTGGATGAGGGTGTCTGGTGATAATGGCCGAAACACGCGATGAATCCAAGGTCCACTACTGATGATGTGTCCCAAATTTAATACGATAATTTAGATCAGATCCCTAATCCCTAAACCTAACCAAGGAAGGAAAAATGGCAGATTAGCCTGGGTAAGAGACCGACAGCTGAGGCACAACGCTGTGCTGCTGGCAAAGTTTCTGGGCTTTCCTCATAACAGCCGTCCCTCAAACCTTTCTCAATTTAAAGCAGTGCATAATCAGGGATTGTAACATCTAGTCCTTCTACTGAAACGCACATCAAAATAAATGCCCAAATACGCTGCCAAGAACAACCCAGGTTTTAAAGTCTTTTATGGAAAATTATGCCGTTTAATGTTTCGTTGCACTCTGAAATAAAAGCATATACAAATAAGAAACTGGAGTTAAAGAAGAAATCATGGAATCAATTTATAGACCAAAGTGTATTCTAAACGTCTGACTCGTGGCTTCTTTCTACAGTACAAATCGAATCTGTAGCAGAAGTTCCCATGAACGTGGAGCTTGTAGCTGCTTTGCTTTCACTCTTCTGTCCAGTTCAAACCAGCTCGATGGGGTTTCAGTCTGGAGACTGTGCTGCACACTCCCTTGTTCTATTTTCCTGAGGTAGTTCTGGCATAGCTTGAACTGGTGTTTTGGGCCATTATCTTGCTGTAGGATGAACCCCTGAGCCCAGAGGGAGCTGCAGGATGCTGTGGTAGCTGTTTTGGTTCAGGGAGCCTCTCACTCTGTACGAGTCACCGACCCTGGATCCAGCAAACAGCCCCAGACCATCACACTTCCTCCTGCATGTTTGACAGTTGATGCCACACACTGTGGAACTCCTTTCACCTACACGCCGTACAAAGATCCTGCGTGATGATCCATCATCCATAAAACCTTCTTCCAGTCTTCAGTCGTCCCGTGTCGGTGTTTCATGGCCCAGACAAACCTCTGTCTTATTCTGACGTCTGGCTTTCTTTCTGCAACTCGTCCTGTCAAACCTGCAGCTCAAAGTTTCTCTTCACAGCTGGAACTGAGACTTTCTCACTACGACCACTATGAAGCTGCTTGAAGCTGCTGTCCTGTGAGCTGCCATCACACAGCTGTTACCTCTCAGAAACTTGTCCTCTGATTCAGTCGTGTCTTTGGGTCAGCAGACGTCTTCCTGTCACAGTTTCTGAGCCTTTGATGCTGAAGGAAACTGGACTCACTGACACTTTGACTTTCTTTGCAGTTTCTCTGTAGGACAGACCGACTGTAACAGGGCTGGAAACACAGGACCAAGGCAAGTGTAGTGGAACAGGAAGTATTTATTTGCCATACAGCTCTCCTTACAATAGTGATGGCCGCTTGAAGCTGACGCTTCAGTGCGTGTGTCAAAAAAACCAACACACTGCTTCAGAAGCACTGTGTCGAAGCTTGATTCGTTTGGCCAGAGTCACATGATCAGAGACACAGGCTGGGCCATCACACAGTGGAACCAATTCTCTGCTTAAATAAAAACCAAACAGGATGACCTTAAATGCATCATGTCGTTACTTTACAAGTTCATACCCCCTGCAGTTCACAATCAGTTCTACCCCCGGGTCAAAAATATGTCTACAAAAATTGGCCTAATATCATATTATTTATAAACACAGCTGTCCAGTGATGAACTGCATAAGTACGTGGAGGCGGGGCCTCACATACTCCACACTGTGTTGTACATTATTGTATTTACCAACTTCAAGCAAAGAAAGACCACACCATGGCACATTTTTAAAGAACGAAACTTTATTAATCAAACAGACATAATTCTTTCAGTTGAAAGCAACCTAAGGGTGGCCCAGTATCCACTCTGTGGGCAGTCTTAATGAAGAAGAGCGCTTTAAACTCAAGCTGCGCTTCATAATTTTGGCCACCAGATGTCACCAGAGGACGGTGAAACGCTTGGAATAATGAGCCGTTTCTAACACAAGCTTCGTTTGGCCATCATTACCTGTAGGAAGGCTTGCTCAGAGCAGCTTTAAGTTGTTGACCCACGCTGCGTGCCCTGAAAAAGCCTTTTTGTATAAATCTGAAATGTACATTATTTTTCACTTTGGGGTAACTTTTTTTAAACTGCTGGTAGGTCACCTCTTCCCTTTCATTCCAAGGACAGACTTCATTGGACCTGAAGGACTAATTGCAATAAATAACTGGAAGAACTGGGCTGATCTAAAACTTTTGACCGTTGACTTTGTAAAAATTCGCTGTTCTCTTCAGCTTATTATCCAGGAGCTAAAGGTTGCACATGTACAGCACATGGTTGGTATAATCAGCAAATCGAGGCACGTAGGCGTGCGTGTGTGGCTTTTATTTTGAAAGGCACTGGCGAAATCCGTGTTGGTCGTGTTTCGTGAGTCTGTGGAGCTGTGTGAGTGGCCGCCCTCAGGTTTGTTCCTCTAATGTACACTAACATGTAGGTAATGGTCTCGGTGCGGGTCTAGGCTCGGCTCGGACTGGAAACCAGGCTGGCTCACAGGCGCAGTTTGTGGAACTAGAAGGACGCACAAACCTGTGAACTGGGAGCTGCTGGGCAGAAACTAGTGGTTAGACTGGGCGTCACCGTCAGTCACTGTGAGTCTGTTGTGTGCACAGTGCAGGAGGACACCGGTCGACGGTCACTGCTGTTTGTTTTAGAGCTACAGACCACAGGTACGTAACCGGTCCCCGCTCCACCTGTCCAGACCAGGACAACATCTGTACTGGGACTGAGCAGACCAGTCGCTGTGTGAGAAGCTTGTTGGCACAAACCTCTGAGGTCCAAAGCTGAACGAAGGATCGTTCAAGAAACTGTTCATGTGTCGCCACCACGAGCTGTGTCAGAAACATGAGTCACGGCCACAGTCTGTGAAAGTTCATCTCGAGGCTTCCGTGTCAAACTGCGGCGTGCTTGCAGCACAGCCCTCACCTGTGTGCGCTGAGCCCTTCACCGAGCAGAAAGCTTGGAGCTGATTCCATCAACGCTGACAAACACACACTGTGCTTTGTGTGTTCGTTAGAGCCTCGTTGACCAGCCTTTCTGATACGTGGAGCGACTTTATGTTGAATGCAGTGTTGCTTATTGACTGAGGCTACAAACGTTTTCACTGCGCTGAAGGCACAAAGCTGTTTTTCCGTAGACTTGTATGGCTGAAAGCCAAAGACATCGCCCCCTGGTGGCATCCAAGAGAAAGGCTTTTTACTTATCAGGCCGGTGTTGGCTGTGGAGTATGGGCTCAAAATGAGGTCATAAATATTTTGTACTTGTTACAAG